CCGGACCTGGGCTAGGACTGGGTCTGGGGGTTCCTGGAAGTCGGCAGAAATTCCTACTCGGCGGGAGGGGTGGGGCAGGTATGGCAGAGTGGTGGGGGGCGGCTCACACTGCGCCTGGGTTGGGACTGGTCCCGCCGGCGCAGGGTAGCAGGAAGCCCTCCACACACTCACCGGACCTGGGCTAGGACTGGGTCTCAATGGCATTGTTTTGAAGTAGCAATAATAGTTACACAACACTGAATGTAATTAATGCCTCTGAAATGTACATTTAAAAATTGTTTAAAATGGGAAATTTTATGTGTACCTATATATTTAAATGTAATATCCTCAAAATTAATGGACTGCATATTTTGCATTTTTGCAGCAGTAGGGAATCAAACCTAGGGCCCCATTCATGCTAGGCAAGCACTTCTGCCCCGAGCTACATCCTCACCACTACCCCCATTTAAAATTTTTACACTGAAGCAGAGTCACTGAGTTGCCTCGGCTGGCTTCAAACTTCTGATTTTCCTGTCTCAGCCTCCAGATAGGTTGGGAATACAGGCATATGCCACTAGGCACAGTGAATCTTGTATAGTGTACATGCATGAGTTATATATGTGAATTATATGTCAATAAAGCTGTTAAAACAAATGAAGACCATGTTATTATACATACTTAGATTCAAATCTTATTTATTCTAGCTTGAGAAAATAAAATCATAAAAAACTATTTTCATATCCTAAAATAAGACATTATAATTCTACCTTCTGGAGCTGTCAATAAACTTGTAATTCAAATAAAATATATAACTGCTGCTGAAGGCTGCCCCTGGGAGGAGATTTAGCACAGTGGCTTTGATGCTGACTTTTGGAGACTGATTACCTAGATCCCACCCAAAGGTCACTTTCTAATTCTAGGTGATTTAGTGTACATATACCTACTGTCTCATCTGTAAAATGTAAATTGCTAGCAGTACCCATAATCTCTAGTTTGTTTTGGTTATTAAATAAGGTATCAAAATTGTTATGAAGAAGAATCTGCAAAATATGATTCCTGAACAAAATTTCACCTTTAATAAAAATTTTCATCTTAAATATAAGAATCTCTTTATAAACTATAATACATTGACATTAGTAAATAATAAGACAGTAAGAAATATCTCATTTCTCATACAAAATCTGCCCCAACTGTGTTTCCCTAAAATCATTCCTTTGGGAAAACAGGTCTTCAGATTTAGACTAGACTTCCAAGAATGTTTGCTTCATGTAACATGAAGCTTTTAAATAATTAATAAATAGATAATATAGGGAAGGTATTTAACATCTAAGCAGTATAAAATCAAAATCTATACATACAGGAGATATGTAAAGTAGGGGTCACTTCAAAGACTGATCTCTGAAAGCCAGCCAAGATTGTAGAAGGCAGAACATACCACTTTCATATAAATTTTAAAATGAACTTAAATTACTTCTTACAGTTACTGGTAAAGAAACAAAACTCATTTTTTTTTCTTTTTTAAAAACTAATTTCTTTTTGAGACTGAAAAATTAAACATCAAAAACACAGGGACATATAAAACTGTAAAATGGAAACAGATTTTAAAAATATGTATCATGAGGCAGAAAACATTGTAAATAGAGAGAACCTTGGTCTTATTTATTTATTTAATTTTTTGCCTTTTGACACAGGGTCTCACTATGCTGCTCAACTGGCATTGAGCTCACTTTGTAGCTCAGGCTGGTCTCGAACATACAGTGGTCCTCTTGCCTCAGCCTCCTGAGTGCTGGGATTACAAGTGTATACCACCATGCCTAACTGAGAACCTTAATCTTTAAACACAACACAATAATGAAAAAAAAAGGAGTTGCTAGTATTTCCCTGTATGGCATACTGGGTATTACTGTTAGAATAAAAGAAAGTTAAGACTATATAACTGAGATGAAAACTACTGTATATGACAATACAGCACAGAAAATCTGCTTAATAATTCCTTAAAAATTATGTGATAGTTTCCCAAATTCTGGAATAACTAGGGATTTGTACAATAAGTTGTAAAGTACCACACTACCTATTTCAACATCAACTCAGATTTATATACCTCATTTTCAATATAGCTGTTGATAAGATCTTGGCCCAGCTGTCTACACAGGCTACTGTGGATAGGCAGATCAATGCTTTTGGCTTTTCCTTTTTTAATGGTCTGATTTAATCGATCCTGCTTGTCTGAGGGAGTTGACTGTAAAAGAAATTTGAAAGTGTTAATTTCTAAAACTAGCTGAAAAATAAGAGTGATTTTAAAGGTCTCAAAACGGTAAAATCAAAACCATTACCATCTACTATAAAGCATTATTTTTAAAGAGTACAAATTAGAATTAAAACAGAAAAAATTGCAAGTGATACAGATTTTCACTTAAATTAATATGAATTTCACAAGATGTGTTGTAATACACAGTGCTGTCTTCCAACCAGTTATTCATATTACCAGATATATGCATGCAAAATTAGAAGAAAAAAGGAAATGTGTAAGAAATTAACAAAAAAAGAGAAACAATTGAAAAAAAGTGAAACAAATTAAAGTATTAATTGCTTCTTTCTATAGACCAGCAGAAATGCACAATACAGTTGTCTAAACCATCCTGAAACAAGTTTCAGGTTAAAAGTAATTTTAGAATTTAGGATTTAAAACCTCTGTGAGAAAAATCCATATAGCTAATCTGTACAGAATTTATTATTATTGAGAATAAGTGAGAATAATATTATTTTAATAAACATACACAAAAACTCATACATGGATGTTGTTAAAAGTGTTAACTCATAGTAAAAATATAATAAAACAAAATTTCCATCAACTAAGAAATAAAATGTGACAAGCATTCACACAGTGAAATATTAGGCCAAAACAAATGAAGTACTGATGTATCTTAAAACCAGGATGAATGTTGAAAACATAATGATTAGTGAAAGGAGATCTTTATAAATGTAGTATTATTACTACTACTACTACTATTATTATTATTATTATTATTATTATTATTATTAGGGGTTTTTTTGAGACCGAGTCTTGCTGCATAGTTCAGCCTGGCCTTGAAATCACTATGCAGCTCAGGTTAGCCTCCACTCACATCAATCATCCTGCCTCAGCCTCCCAAGTGCTGCCATCATGCCAGGATCACAAATGTGTTTTTATGAAATGCCTAATATAAGCAATTATAGAAATAGAATGTTGATTATTGGTTGCGTAGAGTTGGTAGGAAGAAGGTTTAAGATAATGAGGAATTACTGAAAATGAGGCTGTTTTAGGGGGTGATGAAAAAGTTCTAACATTTTGAGTTGGCTGCATAACTTTTTTTTTGCGGAACTGGGGATTGAACTCAGGCCCTTGAGCTTGCCAGGGAACTGTTTCTTCCATTGAGCCATCTCCCCAGCTGCACAACTCTTAATCAACCCAAACCCACTGAATTATACATTTAAATAGGTAAATTTTATGATATGTATACTGTATCTCATGGTTTTAAATGTAACTTGGGTAAGTTAAAAGCAAAAAAACAAAACAAAATGCAAATTTTACAGAAAGAAGTTTCAGGTTAAAAGTAATATTAGAGTCTAGGATTTAAAACCTCTGAGAGAAAAATCCATACAGCTAATTTGTACAGAATTTATTCTGTGCAATTTAGAAAAATTTGTTGAAGATGATAGCTTAAACTACAACTATACTTATTTGGGTGACTGGGGTATGGTGTCTCCTTTACTTCATGTGGTACTGGGGTCTAAACTCAGGGCCTCTGCACTGAGCTCCATTTTCAGATCATTTTTATTTTGAGAGAGTTACTAACTTACCCAGGCTGGGCTTGAACTTGCAAGGTTCCTGTCTCAGTCCTCTAGAGTGCTGTGATTACATATAGCATGTATTACTACACCCAGCCGTCCCTTCTTTCACTGGCAGTGATTATCTCAGTAATATGATTATTCTCAATAATAAAGACATTTATCATTTAAATTTTTTTTTTT